GAGACCAGGTCTACCTGAAAGCCTGTAGCTGCATGTCTGTGTGCACATGCACACAAAACACCATATTACAGAGGTTCAAAAGCCACTGCATGTTTGATGTTGGCTCCTCTCTCTAGTGTGTACCTGCTAAGCCACATTACAGTAAACTAAAGGGTTTTTTAAAGGTCAAACATTCATCTTTCACCAATGTGCTCCTTGGTACCACTGTGATTATAGTAAACTTCAGTCCAATACCCATGAGTAGTTGAAGGCAATCCTTGATACAAGAACAGGGTGTGGTTTGCTGTCATTCTTTAGGGAGTTCCAGGAGGACACCTCAACCAATAATCACATTTTCGTCTCCCTAAGAAAGCAGTTCATACCCTCCTGGAGTCACTTGCACACACAAGGTGAAACAATTCCTCTTCCCACCTCCATCCCATTCCCACTCCAGGCAGATGTTCATTAGCAAACTTTATTTTATTAAAAGGATGATATGGACTTTGAACAAGGCTTCAGAGTTCTGCCTGTTTTCCCTTTGTATAACAAATATTAAAATAATGTTTGGAAATGTCCTTGCAAAGCAAGGTCAGGACTTCTTCATCTCCAATATTTCAATTTCCAGAAGCACATTTCTCCCAGTCCCAAATATGATCTGAGGGCAGCAACTGTCCCATAGGTGTAGAACCATGAAAGGGTGTTTGTGATCCCAGAAATAACTCACATATCACAGGGGGATTGGCAGATGGGGAAACTCATCACCAGGTGCTTCTGTGCAACACTGTGCAAGATTGTGCTCTGCACCACTTGGAGAAGGAAGCTGCCAATGCTCTTCCTTAGCAATGCCCCTTAGAAAAGGCCATTTGAAACAGCCTGACTTGTCCTGCTACTCCAGAGCCAATGAAATGGGAATAGGTTGCAAACTCCAGGCAGCCAACTGTTGAGCCTGAATAGCATTGCTATCTGCTTGTTGAGGAAATCAGTTCTTAAAACAGTTCTCAATACCACTGCTTGTCTCTCACTACAGCAAACACACACATTAGAGCAAACACATCCCCAGAAAACACTCAGAAGGTTTCAAATCAGAGTCCTTGTGTTACATTTATTAAGGGTATGAGGTCATTCTGGTGTCTCATAGAAAAATGGAATTGTTTCAATTGGGAGGAACCTTTAAAGGTCATCTAGTCCAACATCCCTGCAGTAAGCTGAGGCTGGATCAGGTTGCTCAGAACCTCATCCCTCTGCACACTTGCCCTCACCATTGTACCAGCTTCTGTTAACGCCCACACAACCTGAAATCTTCCCCATATTGCCTCTGCCTCTGAAACGTCAGCACTGGTAAACATGCAATGAATGCTGGGGGGAAGAAACACCCTCGAAGCAAACATCCTCTCACCATGGCATTCATGAGCTATCCTGAATTCTGAGTCTCAGTCTGGTAAGTTCTGAAGTTGGCACGGACCACCTCCAGCAGGCAAGATGGGGGAAGGTGTTTCCTTGCACAGGTATAGGTAAGCACATGCCCTCCCCATGTAAGCAGCAGCCTTGCAGGGTACAGCACATTCTCATGAGACACAAGAAGAGCAGGTTCAGATTCTTCCCCATCCAGAAGAAATTTGCCCCCTGAGACTCCTGTGACACAGAAGATGGCCCTGATTATAAAATGTTAGGTCAGTCCAGGGAGGTGCTCACAACTCCTCTCATTGATCTGCCTAGTCTTATTTAGAAAAGTGGAAATAGAAATGGCATCAGGAAGTGGTTGACTCTATAACCTCTCCCAGGAGACCCAGGCTCCTAACACCACTCCTGAATATGATATACATTGTATGGAACACTGGCTCTCCCCTTGGTACTCCTTAGTCTGCACCTTGCAGCATTTTCTTGGGGTGTATTCATTGCTGGGTTGCCGCCATTGCTTTCAGCACTCAAAAAGAAGAGATACAAACATGAAGGTTTGCAGTCAGCTGGTGAGGGGGTAGGTAAGCTCTCTCCAGTGGGGAACCTCAGCCTGACATCCCAGAAATGGGTGCCTCTCCCCCTCTCTCAAGAGAGAGAGAGAGGCCCTAAATTTCTCTTCACCCTTTGAGGCAGATCAGATCACATATTTTATTTTCTTCCACAGACAGTGCAGAGAATGCAATTACCTAATTCAGTGTGGTGAGTCCTACCAGATAGCAGAACACCCACAAATTAGGCATCATGACTATGATGCCTCCTTTGTGATTCCCTCCTACAAAGGATGAGAGATGATTCTGCTTCAGCGAGCTACAGAGCAGGCTCCAAAACTGGAACGGTTGTCAGAATGCATATTGTACACAGATCCTCCTACCAACTCCTACAAGAAACAATTACCTTCTTTCAGCTAGAACAAAGAGCTATTAAGTGAGACAATGAGCTTAGCAGCATTGGTGAACCATCTGTCATCAAGCACTAGACATTAGCAATGTCTTTTTTAAGCCAAGCCAATCGAAGCCCCCAGCCACTGTTACAATGGCACACAAGCACAGATGAAAAGTGTCAGCCCAACTTATCCTTGTTTTAGCTCCTTCCACTCGGTCTTTTCTGTTGCAGCTGCCTCCTGTAGCAACCCTAGCACAAGCAGGATCACACAGATTTCTCACAGTAACCATCAAATTACACTTCGCACCACAAGTCACACCAGTGCAGCAGATCCAGGCTGCTCTGGGGTGCAGGCTGATTTGTTTTGAGGGCAATCCGGACACTGTTTTGTCAGTCCAGACACTGATATGAGACATTTTCCCTTCTAGACCCAATTCACCTAATTCCAAGGGACAGCTATCCCAAACACCTCTAATTTTACTGTTCCAGAGCCCAAATGCCAAAAAGGGTCTCAGAATCTGCGCACAACACTGCTAACTGACTAGCAGCAAGCAGCCAAGTGTAGAATAAGAGACGAAACATGAGATTTAGACTGTGACACATAGAAAACTGAGAAGGCTGACCCTATGTGTGAGAACATCAGACTCCTCTGCCCAGCCTAAATCTCCCACTCAGTCAAAAATCCTGTTCTCTTCTGGTTGTACAGAATAACCTGAGCCAAACCGGGATAAAGAGCTAGAGATCTACCTGGGTCTGCAGATTAAGCTCTATAGCGTAAGCAGGAGCTGTCCTGTACCTGGTTTATTTACACCTATCAGTTGCCAGCCTAAGAGCTGACCTTGAAGCTTTACTAAGTATTTTCTTAAAACTTTACTTAGTATTTTCTCTATTTGATTATCAAGCTTTTGCAGTGCTGGGAGGAGGCTGAGTTTGAGTGAAATACTGGCCATCTAAGGTGTTTTATTTTTTTTAGAAGTAAGGAATCCACATAAAACAACACATTTGCCTGAAAGACTTACAGTTCAAATCCAGTTTAACTGTAGACTGGGGAATTTTTCCTTCCATGTAGGGATGGATGCAACCAAATGCCAAATTTTAAGATAGGTTTTCACACACCAGATTTAAAGGAGCCTTTTCTTCCCACAAACCACAAACAGTGAAAAATAGCAGGCAAAAGTCTGCAGCTGGGGTGAGAGGACAAACTCGGCCTGACTGGACAATGCTTTGCCTCTACCCAGATCATGTGAAGTTTTTGGTGGTTCTGGATCAGAGGGGTTCCTGTCACTCTCACAAGGCCCAGCTGGTTATTTTTGTTGCACTTTCAGATGGGGACCCAGGAAAAGAGTGAGATGTCACTTCTCAGTGGTTGGTCCTCCAGGGTCTGAGCATGCGGAGCCGCCTTGCCTGTCCCACAGTTGACGGGCGGATGGTTATGACCAAGCATTACACCTGGCTAAATTAAGAAACAGCTTCCCTGCAGATGGAAACCAGTAAATCTCAGCAGGGAGGTAGTGACTGAGAGAAGACAAGTGAAGCAGGAAGTGAAACAGATTAGCCATGGTTTGTACTCTCTGTTTGATATAGCTTCAGAGAGGGCACACATGGTCGATTACTGCATGCAGGAGAGAAGTGCTGGTGTTTCCGTGCACCTCCACCCTGAGGTGAGCAGCAGTGACTCCCAGCCAACAGACTTGAAGTGTATTAAGGCCAAGAGGCCACAGGTTCACAGGAAAGCAAGATTCAAGGGGTTTCAATCCAGCTTCTCCCACTCTTTGGAAATATAAATTCAAAGACAAATAAAGAAGAGGGACAAAACTGGAATTCAAGCCAGAGGGACAGGTATTGGTCAGCATCACATGGCATGAACGGAAATGGTATGGATCAGAGACTTCAAGATCTTCAGCCATTTCGCTGCATGACTAATGTACAATGTGACTGGTAGGGAGACCAAGTGAATCTGGGGGCAGCATGCAGCACTGCACATGCTAAACAGATCACTGGGTTTTTGTAAGACCTGCCCTGGTCCCTGTGAAATGGCACTGTTTTCACGGTGACCGGAAACACCAATGAAGAAGGCACACTGCTCCACAAATTTTTCCAGTGGCTGTTTTTTTATAAAGCTCCTCCCATGTCTTTCCATCTGGGGTTGTGAAAAGCATTCAATGATGGCCTCTTTCTGCAGGAAAATAAGTTAATGGGAACATTTACAACTGTTTTCAGTGAACACCTTACAAAAGTCAACAAGAAACTGCTATTTTAGTGTGTCAAAGGAGCCAGAATATCAGAATGTCCCAACATGCCCATCTTTTCCTCAATGAAATTCATTACTGGTGTGACAAGCTGTAATAGACAAACAGCTATGCTCTGTCATTCTTCTGTGTGAAAACACCTTTAGCCCTTTGCCTTATCAGGCCTAAAGTAATTTCTTTGGCAATAATATCAACAGAAACCTCTGCATTTTTCTTCCAACAGTTAAATTATTTATGAGCTTTGAAAATAATCCCACTTTGTCTTCTAACCCTAGTTTTGCATATATATATGTCGACCCCTGTGAATTCTTCAGCTAAAATATGCATTCATTACAAAAGCTTTTCAGGGTATTTTTTTCTTTCCTCTTTATCTACTTGTTTGAATATGTTGTAAACTTGATTAATGTTGCCTTCTAATCTCTTTCTTTCTAGAGAGAACACCTGGAGCTCTTTTAACCTGCCTCAAATAAAAAATAAAACCCAAGAGACAAACAACCCAAGTGGCAATGTCACACTTCAACAACCCTTTCCTTTCCCTGGCCACACATTTCTCCTCTTCTAAGAGGATGGACACACAGGTAAAACTTGTGTCAATGAACCAACAGGGTCATGGGCTTCTTCTAAAGCCCCCTTCCCTAGTAACCTGCTTAGTTTCAAGCCTCTCTCAGACCAGAACAGTTTGGGGAGATTTATGAGAGCAATTCTTCTGGTTCCTTTCACAATGTGTTTTCCGCTATTCTCATCTATCGCTATGCCAACATGCATCATTTATTTAATACCAGTCACTAGCCATATTAAGCTTTTTCTCTTTTTTTTTTTTTTTTTTTGCCTTTTTTGTTGAGGACATTCCCCCCTATACCTGGAGAAATCATGCAGGTAAATAACATCTGAGCCAACAGTCTTAGACCTGCCTTTTCTGCCTCCAACCACAGCTTTCCAGGAGTATCAATCATCCCCGAACTAGGATTCTTCGCATTTTAATTATGCTAATATCGTCATAATTTCATTCTCGTTAACAGCGATTGAATTTCAGTCTCTGCAGATGGTGAAGCTGGACAGTTACCAAGCCACATGCCATCTTGAGAGGAGGTTATGGACCAGTGCTTAGCCTGTGGCAGTGCTGCTCAGCACCATTTCTGGGTTGCAACACTTTACTTTACCCATTTGTGAAATGGCATATGCCTTTGCCTCATACTGGTTTTGAGATTTACAAAGAACACTTCTAAAAATAAAGAGTTCATTGCCCAGCTAGCTAATTCTTGTTACAACACAGCCCTGCCTGCTTTGACAATTTCAGGTGAAGGCTAGAGAGGAATTACGCTATTAATTTAAAGTGCCTACAAAGAGGACAGACACTCCTCACAAGAAGCCTCAGGAGAAGACAAAGGAGAACAAGTACAAGTTTCACCAGGAGAAATTTGTTCTCAACATAGGAAAGACATTTTTTACAGTGAAAACTACCTATCACTGGAACAACCTCCCCAGGGATGTGGTAGAGCCTCCATCACTGGAAGTTTACAACATCTCATTGCATACCACTGGGTGCTAGATAATCTTGTCTAAGATCCCTTTCCCATGAAAATTTGGACCACATAAACTTTCTGTGTCTATTCCAACATGGGATGCTTCATGATTCTGTGGTCCTGTGGTTGTTGCAGGTGTACACAGATGTGTGGGTATGTCACCACAATAGACACCAACCCACTGAATCTCCCCATGAGAGCAAGTGTAGTCCCCAGATCATGGCAGTGCTGATGGGAAGGACCTCTGTGGTTTTCTCACCCAGCCTCCTACTGAGATCAGGCTGGGGTCTTCTGGGTATGTCCCTTGTTTTTCTCACAGAATAAAATTATTGAAGGCTACACAGATAAATTTGTACAACCACAATCACACCTGTGCTGCGGGGACTGGCAACCAAGGCAACCCTTCTCCTCACCATTGTGGTAGATGGACCAGGGTTTGTTGCATCTCCTTTCTGGACTGGATTTCTCTTCAAGGAAAACCAGTGTGGGTAGAGTGAGTGGTGAGCACAAAAGCAGTGACCCAGAGAAATACTGGGACATGCAGAGGGACCAGGACCTCAGTGCACATTATGAGGAACTATTCTGGCCCACACAGCAGCTCCAGTTCCACTCAGTGGAGAATAGGTGGCTTCCCAGATGTACCCTGGCATAATCCATCACTGCCTTTCCTCACCACGCCTGGCCTACCTGTACCATCTGTGAGGTACTCACACGTTCCAGACACAATCCTCAGCTCTAAGCTAAGGGAAATCCCACTGCTCCCTGGCTGACAGGCAGAGGAAACTTCAGCTTAAGCCTGGCTTCAAGTCAGAAATCAATATTGCATAAACCAAACTGCACCAGTTCTGCAGGAAAGGTTGACATTGTGACTGAAAGTGTGATGAATGATTTTAACATGGATTTGATGCTTGAGTTGTTGGGTTTTTTAATACAAATACAGACTCTGGTAAGGCAAATAGAAATTATATGGACTATTGCAGCTTTCTGGTCTGAAGAACATATTAAAATCACTTCAGGAGATGATATCTGATCAGCTTCTTATGTAACTGTTGCCTCCTCCTACTCCATTTGACAGCTGACCTCCCAGATAATCAAAGTAAGACACAGATGGCAGCTGCACAGCCGAGGTAAACACGAAATGGTCTCTGTGACAGCCCAGAAGAGCCATTGTTTTCCCATACCTAAATCAGATGGCAATCTAGGATCCCAGCCAGACCTATCTTCCCCCAAGCATTAAAAGCACACAATGAATGAAAAGGCACAGTAGTCAAAAGGGTAAGAAACAGTGTCAGTAATATTTCGTATTGCAGTAAGTCTTCAGATACTTCTAGGAAATACTTTTAATCCATGGCAAGGACTTTGATTTTCTTCAATTATTTAATATGTTGGTGAGGGATTAATTAAAACCATGAGAGAGAGTCACTCTTTAAGGGCAAAAGATTTTGAATTCTGCTTGCTGATCAGGATGACAACAGTATTTATGCTGATGGTCAAAAAGGGCATTTCTGACTCCAATTCCATTTCCAGAAAACATTAACTTTACCTCACGGTGCATTATTTGAATCAGCACACGTCGCCAGGGGTTGAATAAGACAGTTTTTCCGCACTCCACAACGCAGTACCGACACTTACTAAATTATGCTGTTAAATACTGTAGTATGGCTATAAAATACAATGAAGGCCCATGGAAAGGTGCCAGCCCCTTTCTGAGAGAGAGACAGCACTTTTTTGGAACCCTGCCTGTGGCCCGTAATTTTCACTTCCTCCTACTACAGTCTGAAGTGACATGAAAGGACTTGTAAAGTCAAGTCCAGGAGGCTGGTGGGAATTTGAAGGAGTAAAGATGAAGTTACAACATCATTGGTAGCATTTGACCTACTTGATCTTTGCTGGGAAGGAAGGAAGGAGCCAAATCTCCCACACACCTCTCTAGCAGACCACACTGAGGGGAAAAAAAAAAATTTAAAAAAAGAAAAAAAAAATCCAGCCTGCAAAATCTGTATTTTTCTGCCCAGACAGGGCCAAAATATTGAAAACATATAAACTTCTAATGGAGAAAACTGTTTGAAAGCAGAAAAACTTGGCAGAAAAGTCTATAGCTTGCAAGATATTTCAGTATTTCATGGGAAATGGCACTTGTTGAAAGAAAAGAACCAATGGCAGAGGATGGGAGAATGGAAGAATTGCTTACACAAACTGAGTCTTGTAAGGTATTGCAGCAATTCACATGGACCTTGACATGTACAACCAATAATGAGGTCCTTTAAGTCTAGCAAGCTAAAAAATAAATGCTTTTCCTTACTAATGATTACAAAGGAGTTGAACAATGGAGCAGGAATCAGGATGGACCTTTGTGAAAAATATTTCAGCAAGAAAGATTTCTCCTTCTCCAGTGGTCATAATCTGAACTGTCACACTCTGTATGTGCCTAAAACCCTTCACTGCAGGAATACAGACAAAATGGTGTTGCCCACAAAGCTTAAAATCAAGCTGAGGAACAACAACAAAAACAAAACCAATACATAACATCTATTTAGGTCACCTCAGTGACAGTGCCTGACAGACAACATGCACAATATGCTGCCCTCCTGTGTGCTACCACAGTTCTACAGAAGTTGGTTAGCACATCAGAGGAAGGCTGAAAATAATAATGAGGTGGAGAGCAGAACTGGGTAAGCAGAATTCCACAGAAATTTTTGTCTTCTATATTGACACGTACCTTGATCTATTTCTTATATCCCCTCACCTACAAACTTATACACAAATCCAGGCAAACACTCAGCCTAAAATGTGTGCCCTTAATTGTCTTACATGTAAGCTTTCATCAGATGGTCAAAACTGGAGAGCAGCAGAATTCTCTTAGCAACATTGTTTGAACAGACACAATTTGGATATACCCAAACCACCAATATTCCTCTTCTAGGCTGGGTGTTCATTGGAGGTGATTCTTTGTTACAGAACAAGTCTCTGGAGCAACCGAGCTTGAGGCATGGTTTTCAAATTCATTAAAAATTCACAACAGCTCTGGTGGCTGCAGAAAACCTTCACATGGTTACTAGGGATAATTCTGTCAGCAAAACTCAGAGCTACCTTATTCCACACAACCTACTTCTTAAACTCTGTCCAGCCCAGGCATATGTGGACAGTGATTGCCAGGAGTGCATCTTAGGGAAAGGATTTGAAAGAAGTTGTTAAGCCCAGTGAAACAGGGCAGCCTGGAGAGCTCCAGCCCAGCCCCTCCTGCCACTAGAAAGGAGGGAAACAGCACTAGAAGGTGCTTTGCCTAAATGTCAGGATGCCTGACACGGTCTCAAAACACACATGTACCACACAGGGGAACACAACCAGCTTCCAGAGACTGCAGCCTCCAATGAGTGACCTGAAATGCAGGAAGCAGCCTTAAGGAAGACGTTAAACCTTGTCACCCAAAATAAAGTTTATGTCAAAGAAAATTCCCTGTGCCAACCGCACAAGAGTCACTTTGTTTCCCATCCAACGATCCCCTCCCCCTTAGTTTTTTCTCATCTCCACTGCCCTTTTGGAGCAAAATTCTCAGTGCAGTTGGTCACAGCAGTTCAGCTGGGGACAGGAATGAGTATCAGGAGTGGAACAAAATACACAGAAGGGTCTCTTTTACATTTTCAGAGACACAGACTGTATTTTCCTCTTTCCCTTTGGCTCTGTCACTTCTCTTTCAACTCCCACAAGTAGCACTTGGAGAGCAAAGAAACTGGGGGAGAGGTGTGAGAAAGCTGAGCCATCTGCCTGGAGGAGAACAGGGATTCAGGCACTGGCAAATGAGCTCTGAAAACACTGCCATGGTGTCCTCAGGTCCTGACACGTGCTTCTGCATCCTCAGTCCCTGTCATGGGCACCCTCACACTGCGGGGCGATGGAGGGGAGTCTGGAGAGCAGACCAAGGAAAATTGATGAGATGCCAGACTTCCAGAGACAGGCAGAGGTTCCCCCCTCTGCTGCAGGAATGAAGGGTTGGTAATAAACTGTGGGGATAAATGGCAGCAGCTTCCCTCACTACTTCTGTCTACTCCCTGAGGAGGTGCTGGGCCATGGCAGCAAGGGCAGAGGGAGGGATTTAGAGAACAGCCACGGCCTCTGTGACAGCAGGCATCAAAAACCCTCCCCAGCACCAGATGTCTTCACACAGAACTGGTCTTGGACCATGGTTACCCTGGCTGTAAGACATCATTTTGTTTCTCTGCCTCATACTCCCCAATGTGACAAATTCATTTTCAAGCAAAAGTCTTTCCTCCACCCCCTTCCCCCCACTATAAAAATATGAGAAAAAACAAACAAATCGACAACAACCAAACAACCAACTCTTGATAAATACTAGTGTTTCTTTATCCTTCACATTTCACTCTTCTCCACAAACTCTGAGCAAGAGTTGCAGGCAAAGCTCAGCTCTTGAGTCTCCTCCATGAAGCACCTTGGAAGAAGTCAATGTGTAGAAGCTGGGCGGGGAAACTCTTCCTCTGCTTGTGGAGAGTGGACAAGACATGGAGTGAGCATGTGCCCAGGACACTGCAGCATGGTTTGTCTGTAGATATTCTGTTTTATTTCATTGCAGGCATCACTTCAGTCGTTGTTATAGTGGAAACGGTCCCATCTAGCTGCCAATACCAACATCTGTGCCTGAGATCATCACCGTTTGGGTCAGCAGAGCTCTAGTCATCAGACCTGACTGCATCATCAGATTGCATGCACAAAACCGTGACAAAGACCAGCACTGAGGTCCAAACCCCAAACCTTCGCTTTCTCCTTGAGCACTGCAGCCATGAGTCTGCTCCTTTCTGCTCTTCTTGGCTGCAGACTGAGATGCAACATTGAACTGTCCACCTGAACTGACCCTTTCTCAGAGGATTTCATACCAAGGTGTGTGAAACTGCATCCAAGTGCTTCCCTCCACATGCCAGCATTGGCAGAAAAGCAGAGGGAAGTCAGAACACGTAAGCATACAGAGAGGAAAGGAGGTTCTTGCTCCTGGCATTGGGGACTTAACAGAGTTGCTCAGAGTCCAAGGGGATCCAGTCAGCACTTTTGGACCCCCTGCAGACCTCAACCTCACAGAAGGAAGTAGAGGGATAGTTTTACTGGATCTCACCTATATCTAAGTTCTAGGCAGTGAATGAAGGAAACACCTAAATTCCTGTCCAGCCAGTGGGGAGGAACAGCTGCTTTTCAAGGCTTCAGAGACAACTTTTACTGAAACTGTCAGACTGGGTCTTGAAAAAAAGCCACCCTCTCAGATGGCTGGCTGGCAAATGCCACTGCCCCCACCAGGCCACCAGCTACCTAAAACACAGTTGCAAGCCTGGTGCCTAAGCCAGGCACACCTGCTAATGTTCAACTCTTGTATGTTAACCTCAAGAGAAGCTCTTGTTATGGTGAAATATATGGGGCAGCAGACCATGGCAGCAGAGCTAAAGCCCATAGATCACAGAGTTAAATATTCTGCTGTGGGCTGAAAGTGAGAGCACACAGTTTCAGCCCATGTGTTGGTTGAAGTTATGAGCACGCAAGAAAAGGGGATTTATAATGAGAATGGCAATTCAGCCTCAATTATAGTGCACGACTGTCTGCACACTATAAACTGAAGGTTTAATAATGAGAAAAGAAGGCTGAAGGAGAGAAGTTCATTGTGTCTGTTTCACAGCCTGGAATTCTTACTAAATTCATCAGATTACTTGAGTTCTCCTGACAACTGTAGCAGTATAACTAATTTTAAAGGGGTTTATTGTATATTCAGACTGCAGCAGAAGATATGGGCAGAGAAAACCCCACAGCAAAAGAGAACTCCAGATTGAGGACTATAATGTACATGAGATTTGAAAGAAGTAAATGCTAAAAGATGTAGACAGCAGTTTTTCAGGGTCCTTAACCTTGATGAATAAATGAATAAAATCCCTTAAAAAATTGCAGTGTTTCTTTCAAGTGGTTTCCAGCATGTTAATGATCAAGAGAAGCTGAGAAAATTGCTGGGAAAGGAGATGACTTTCCTCAATATGCTTTTACCACAGAGACTATGAGACAGACATGAATTGTAAGCAAATAATACGCAAAATATGACAGAGAGGGAAGAACAGAGGCTCTTTATCTGCCCATAATGCATTTGCAAACAGATGTGTTGACTGCAAGACTTTGTGATGCTACCAAATCAAAGCTTTAATGGGGACTTGGAGCCTTCCAGTTCTTCTATATTCAGGTACTTAGACAGGACTTCCTTGTATTGTGTTTACCTTACTACACCAAAAGAAAAAGAAAAGTACCTAATTTGAACAGGGACACAGTGAATACAAAAAGGCTTTACCCACCACCATAAGCATCCCACTCACCATGTACAGCACCCCTCCAGCTAATAATGAAGACAAAGGGACCTTAATATCCCCTCTAATTTCTATCACCAATGCCTCTGAATTATTGCAGAAAAATTTCAAGACACACCAGTAGAATGCACTACAGAAAAGGGGCATCTCCCCACCTTCTGCCACACAGGAAGGGATTGTCTTGTTGTTGTCCGGGCATGGCCTTGCTCAAGGGAACTGGAGGAAGGTGTAACTGAGGCAGGAAGCATCAGGCACTCATAGGCAATTTGTCTGCTAAAAAATACCCCTGATTTAAAAAGCCATAAAATGGCAAAGGATAAAAGGGTGCTGAAGGCTAAAATTTTGAAGGTACCATCGCTAGCAAGGTTTTCACCCCTCAGTTTACTGTCTGACAGTGCTTGAAGACAATGTTCTTGTCGCTCCCTGTCTTTGAAATCTCCCCAGCACCAACATCACCCACACACCCCTCTTCTCTCCTGGCCCCACCAACCTCCAGGTAATAATGTAGCTGATTAGATCTTTCATCATTTTTATTGTTATCCACCCGCAGATTAATAAAACAGTGCTCCGGCTGTTTCTGGCTGACCACATTCCCTAATTTATCATAAAGGCTTAGCCTGAAACACTTCTGTCTGACATGTGGGGGGAGCTGCAGCCCCTCCCAGCTCAGCACAGCTGCAGGAGTGCCATGGTCCGCAGCAATACCTGAATTCTCACCTCACAGAGCAGAAGTTAAAGCGCCGCAGCTGAGCTGCTAAAGCAAAATTACCAGAGATTGGTACCAGAGTCACAGAGGTGGAAAATGGGGAGTTAACTCCAGCTCACTGGAGCACACTGTTTCATATCTGTACTGTCTCTTAATATGAGGGAATATGCTCTTAAAGCACACCAAATTTTCTGTTGAAAGACAGTAATTGCAAGGGTGACTTAACATGGCCTCAGGGACTATGCTGTAAGAATTGGAAGACTTGATCCCTTAAAAGTCAAGCTGGAGGAATCATGAAACTGGCATTGGAGTTCCCACACATCCTCACCTTCTTCTTCTTGTCCCCTCCCCTCCCATCCTCTGCCATATCCCTTCCCTTCCTGCTTTGCCTTCCTCCTCTACAGGGTACTGATTTAAATTCAGAAGAAATGCAAAACTCAAATGTCTTGAAGTCCAAATGATTATTTGAACCTACAAACTCAAAAGTAATGCCCCCCCAAAATCACACAGACTTCTATTAAATTAATGGCCTCATTCATTTATTTGAAGCACATGACTGGCTAAGTGAAGGTGAATTCTTCGAGTGACCAGTGTTATACTAGGAGCAGCTGTGACCTATTCACTGTTCTACATCCCAAAGGAATAGAAAAGTGAAGAACTTCTGTCAGGTAAACATTTCCATAGGGCTTTTCCTGTTTTAAACTGAACAAGAATAATTTTCAAATTACCAAAAGAGGAAAGAAAACCAAGAAGGTGAAAACCTTTTTGTTAAAGAAAAAAAGCATAAAAATTCTAGAGAACTGATACTGTTTTATAGAAAGATTCCATTTAATGAAAAAAAGTCAGCTTTCTGATGAGAAATATTTTCAGGGGATACATTTCAGTCAGGGCTGTCAGCTGTTACTTGTCTTTCAACCACTGACCAAACCAAAGCAATCTTTGTCTTACAGAGCTGGGGTGTCATTTTGGGAAGAGCTCAGTGTAAAACACTTAAGGTCTACCAGACCTTAACAAAACCTTTATCTGAGAAAGAGCCTCAGACCTCTCAAGGTAGTGCAGTGACAGTGAGGGAGACAAGAATGGAGCAGGAAAGAGGCAGATCGGGTATGAACTGCCTCCTCCTCGAATACACATATCAGCTGGCTTACATGGCTCTGTGTAAAGACAAGCATCCTTATCCCTGCAATGCAAGGCCATGGAAATCTGGCATGACTGCTAGTCTCACCAGGAAAAGGTGTGAGCAGGAAAACACGCAGGAAAAGCCCAGAGCTGCCAGTCCCTTTCAATGAAAAACACTTTACCTATTCTGATATCCAAAACATTCTCCTCACTCTTTGCAATTATATGCTTGTTTCTTTTCACTTTAATTTTTTGCTATTCCTTTTCCTCCTCCTCATTTTCAGCTAAGCCACCCAAAATTTCTATGAGCTGAAGAACCAAGACTGATTTCACATGAGTCAAGGCCGAGTCCTTTTGTACGTGTGTATGTGTTTTTGTCTGTTTTTGTTTATTGGAATCCTGTGTTTACCAGGGCCTATGAAGGAATAACCCATGAACATCAAGGGCAGTTCCATGGGCACTCTTCCTCCACACCTTTCTTCATAAAACACACAGGAGCTTAGGAATGTTGAGATTTCTTTCTCCTCTACCTTAATCTTCCCCAAAGGAGTTAAAAGTTAATATTAGAGGAGCACCACCCAGCTGAATGGCACATGAAGTACAATTCCATTTACCTTTTTACCTTTCAGAAGCCAGACCTTGGTGATATCTCCTCCTCCTTGTGCATGATAGGTCATGCATGGTGCCTGACCAACCCGAGACCTGGGTTATCTTGTATCCTATGTCAGCCTCACCTCTTTCTCCCGTCCTCCCACCCAAACCTGAGACAGAAAACAACAGTTAAAAAGATCATCAGGAACTGTTTTTTTTGGAGCAGAGACCTAAGCAACAAGTCCCTCACAAACAAGTGATGCTTTGCCCAACCAAGGCCAAAGCAAACACTGCAAAGTCAGGCCAAAATGGAACAAATGCAGTTTTGCTTAGCTTTCCCAGCACAGGGAGGACATGGGTCTAATTCACAACTCCCAGTCCAGCTCTGCAGTGACAGAGGCTGCCTGAACTGAAGGAGAAATGATGATGCAGGACTGTTCCCTTCAAGATGCCATTCTGTCACCATGGAGGCAGACAGCGTGCTCCCAACAAGTTTATCTGCAAAGTAACATGAAAATTCTTCACAGCAGGAGAG